TTATCTGTAAGTGATCATCTAGGACTTAGAGTACAGCTATGAGCGCTACATGGCTCTGGCTTTAGCTCAGTATGAGGACCTTTTCTAGCTTGTTAGTGGTTACCTTTATTGGCATAAGAATGTATTGACGAATTGGGTATAGGACAGCCTGTACTCTTATGTGTATAGCCATGATGGAATTGTGCCATTTGACAGGGGGGTTCCTATATTTGTTTGCCGAGTGAATCTAATAGACCTAACTTGTTAGATGAACCTTTGAAAGGCTTCATAGTGAACCCTGTCTGCTCACCTTGGTAGTGCTTTGTGATTAATTAACATGGGCATATGCGTATCATGACTCACAGTGAAAGTGTACAACCTTGCAGAGTGTAAAACTGGTATATCAGCCGTGCTCATGGTCACGAGCGGCCTTGGAACATTTACGGAATAGATGATCACTAAGAATTATCCGTTTATGCTATTCATTAATCATGCTTACATTGATCATGTGTTTTACTATGGGATTAAAACAACTTGTTGCTACTCTTATGCTAAAATTATGACAATTAAAAGTTGAATGATGTTAAAGCTGTGTCAAGCCTTTTGAGCCTCATGAACCCCATGATATATTTGTTGAGTACAACAAGTACTTACGCTTATTTTATTTTTTTCAATTATTTGGATAAAAATCTCGGATGGGTACCAACTTGCTAGAGTTTGGAGGAATTAGGCTTGTAATCAACCAGTCAGTTGTGCCTATGGATTGGAGTCTTCACCCGAAGATCGGAGTTGTCTTTCCACTATTTGTTGTCTAAGGTTATATCCTTTATACTAAGTACGTTATATATTGAGCATTGTCTTTCGATATTACCCATATTTGTAGCTATATGTGAGATTTGAATTTCTGGGCTCACATATGGTGTGTATCTGGTTTTGTTCTTAAAATCGGGTGCTACAATTGGCCAGCAACAAGAGGAGATGGGAGCTAGTAGTTCTTTAGTGGCTCCGACCATGGAAGCGGATGGGGGCCACTTGGATTGCACTAGTGATAAGCAAGGAGATCTTGATACTTAGTGGATGATAAGGGCAGACATGAACTAGGTTTTATACACCATCTAGTATGCCAAGTTGCATGGTGGCCTATTTGTTCATCCTATATATGTGGGTTAAGCATCAAAGTATTCTCTTATGCTAGAGCGCGAGCAACTTAGTTGTCATGAAATATTGTGTGGTACATTCAAATTAATGTATGTGTCTTGTTTCATTGTGGCATTTTATTTAAATTGGTGTGTTGGCTATGTCAGAATCAATATTACATTGAGCTTATTTATTTATTCTTAGACTTACCCTATTTTATATTATTTCATTGTTTTAATGGTTGGTTATGGGACTTATACTCTAATACATATTGTTCGCTTAGACATTAGACAGATTAGAGAAGTAGAACATGGAAATTTCATAGGAATATATCTAAGACTAAGGAAATGTAAGACTCCCATGTACAAACTAATCTTAAACTATGCACACATGTATGCAACTTGTTCCTCTAGAGAGGGTGGCATGCCGCACATTACATTGTTGTACTATTCACATTGGAGTATTATATGGTTTTGGAATTTTTACATGGAATCAGTTGAGATTATGACATTAAATTTTCAAGTATCTAAATATTACTAGCTAATCCAAACAAGGGATAAATTCATAACAAGATGAAACATGAAGGATACAAATAAATAATCAACACCACAAAGATATATTAATAGTATAAATGGTGAGGACGACAACAAGACAAGGGCTAGGTTCTTATAATGACCCTTCCTCAATAACATGGTAAAGGAAGAAATATTATAGCAAGTGAAACATCAGGGGATCAATCTACCATGAATGAGGTTAGGAGACCATCCGACCCTTTTAACATGACGTGTTGCTACAATATAGCACTAAAACACAATGACTCAAGATTGAGACAAAGGAAGAGGGCCAAAACACCTTTGGCATGGTTGGTAGGCCACTTGATGTGTTTTTAGGTGACAATTAAAAGAACCTAGCAGCTTGCTCCTTTGCTCTATCATGACATGTTGGAATCCAAGAGCATAAATGCTAAAGATGTAAGCGAGGGAGAAGGGGGTCAGACAACCCCTCAGGTGTTCATACAATGACCCCCCTTGCTCTCCTCTATAAATACCACTACAAGGTGCTCAAGTAAACCTCCAAATTAGACAAGCACATGTTCAGCCCCTAAGCTCCCTCCCTCTTCATTTCTCTTGGCCTTATCATGACCTGGTCATGGATATCAGTAACCATGCCCATCTTGAGCACAATCTGCATTCAAATTTCATATTTTCAAAACTTGCATGACAAAACATCATTTTTTTAGGTTTTGTTGTCGGTCAACCCCTGTGCTCGGATGAGCCTCTCCCTGTGCTCCTCCATGCTGGTGCATGAGCCTCTACCAGCATGGTAGCATCTCTAGGTCGAGGCTACGCCAGCCTTGGGTCTTGGTCCGACCGGTTCGCTGTTCGAAGTCACAGAGATCTCGGGACCTGCTCTGTGTAGTTTCTCTTAGCTTGCTGCGTGTTGGACGCGATTGCCACATTTTTGCGTCGACAAAACTATTTATACTTAATGATTGCATCCTATAGATAATCATAAATGAGTGTGTAGTATAGTAATATGGAGGTGTTGTGTAAGTTCAAGGTTGAGGAATAATATTTATTCTAATTTTTGAGGGTTTTTTATGTTTGTTGTAAACAACATGGTGGACCAAGAAATACGTAGCATGATGGGCCCGACAAGGTCGGCCTACAATTACATGTGGCACTAGTTTAGACAATTTTTTTCTAATTTTTTGAAGTTGCATAGAAATAATTCATAAATTTTCTATATGAAGTTGAATGAAGATGAACTTTATATTAAAATTGTAGCGATCCACGAAACCTATGACTATTCAGTAGAAAAGATTTTGATTAAAATTGCAGCTATCCATGCAATCTATGACTATTTAGTTGAAAAGATTTTGATTTGAAAACATTTAGTGTCCCAAAAAAATATTGTTTTAAGTTCACATATTTCAACATTTTAACTTTTCAAACAACCTTGAATGTTCAAGTGGTTCATACCAAATTTAGAGGCCGACCTAATCTATTATTGATAAGTTTTTATTTGAAGTTACTTGGAGTCTCAAATATTTATTTAAATTCATATATTTTGAGATTTAAGTTTTTGATATTTCCCAAACAATCTCAGATCGAGACACATCCTATACCAAAGTTGTACTGCTGATTTAAAACATTTATAGCTGAAGACAGACATTTTAACACTTTTGTCTTTTTTAATTGTTTAACAACAAAGAGGTGTTCGTTATAGTTCAAAAATAGAGCATCACGTATGAGTGATTGGTTTAGTGTCAAAGTCGTGTTTGTTACGGTTCGAAAATAAAGCGTCATAGATGAGTAATGCGAGTGGCACATGTGATCTATGACGATATCATATGGTGTTCAATGACAATATTTGCGACGACATCATAGTTCATCGCAAATAGTCAGCACCCAAGGCCCATCACCAATGATCCACGATGAAACCAAAAATTTTATTATAACTATGCATTGTTTTGTGACATGATTTTGATTTGTTAGTAAAAATTCGTCACAGATATGCGCATTTCTACTATGATAAGTGTGCTTCCTTTTGATGAACCATGGCTAGTATACCTTGAGTGTAAAGTATTGAGGAAACTTTTATGAATAAGTAGATTTATGTGTAAAATGGACACTAATTAAGTACCTTCACATTTCAATCTACATTTGCTATATTTAGGAATACCATTGCATGGACATATTCCTTTCGAAGATGAACATAACTATTCCACTCATTGTACTTCTACTATTGGTTTATGAGCTCGTTGAACCCAAGGTGAAATGAAAGTGCAAATATATGAGGATAAAAATGGTTTTTGAATATTTAAGATACTAAGTTACCGAGGTTAACTCTAATTCTTGCTCTTGTGTCAACTATATTATGAGCACTTATAGCCTTTCATAGAAAGACCACTAGTGGTTTGCGACTAATCAACAAAGACACATCTATGTTGCAATCAAAAAGATTTGTTACCAAATTAGTTAGTGAAATCTATCCTGCATGCATAAATATATCATGAAGGTCTGAAGAAAACATGCAATTCATATTTTCTCAGATCATTCGTAACAACTTCTTAAGAAAATAGGAAAGACCAAACCAACCACACACTAACCTAGTAGTATACTCCCAATTAACAAAATTACTTACACTAACATTCATTTGATACATCTGTACCAAATAAAACTATTATGTACCATATCACAAGAAAAGATATGCATATATTACAAGTCATGACCATTTATGTTGCAGTAGCTCATCAAGATATTTGAATAGATAAATATATATCACACAAGTGAGATGGAGCATTGCAACTCATTAGACTTCCCCATAGATGATGTAGTCAACTAATAGTAGCTAAACCAGATGCTAGTATCATTCTATCCTGTGTGCCAAGGAATGATATCAGTGGCGGTATGGCCATGCATGACCACACATGTCACCTTGTCAATGGCAACATACTTGGGCGGACATGGGTCTGCCTTGAAACCTCACCTCCACAACAAAATTAGAGTGCACTAGTGTTTCTCTACCTTTTCTACTCTCAAGTTTGGGCTCTGCATAGGAAAACTGTTGGCGTTGGCAAGTTGACAATGTGTATTTGGAGCTTATAGCAATCTTCAAGCACTAAATATTAATGCATTTAAGAAAAATAGTCGCACAAGTAGAGATATACTATATATATAGGGTGTATAATATTCTTTGACTTTGTTATCAAAATCTCAATTTTGCCTTCATATCAAAGTCAATTGTCCAATTAATAAAAATTAGGACAAAAAGGTTCACATGAGGCCTATAAATACCAGCCTTGGTGTTTGCCATTCTCCACAACCCAACAACCCTCGTTCTTAGCTCAAACTACCAATTGTTGCATAGTACTCAACCACATGGATCCCAAGTTCAAGGGAGATTGGAGTGCCTCTGAGATCAAGATGGTGAAATCTCTCATTGCAAGGGAGAACGCCAACAACAATGGTGCTAGTGATATGAACAAGAAGCATAATCAAATTGTGGATGAGCTCCAGGCAATGTTCCCTTGCAAGGAGAAGCATCAGGTAACCAGCTTGTACATTGATGTCATGGTGGAGATGATGCAAACATTGCAGAGTGGCAACCAACAAGTGGAAGCAAGTAGCAACCTCATGAATCAACCCTTTGGGTTGTTTGTGGGGGATCCATCCATGGGCAACATGGAAGCATTTGATGGTTATCAAAATGTCAAAATGTTCGGCATGAGGAATGTGGAGACTCCACGGAGGAAGCCCACTCCTCCGAAGGAGATCCAACACACTAGGAGGTTTTGGACCATAGACGAGCATAGGTTAGTTATTTGCTAGATCCTTAAAGCATCTCATACATATTTTTAATGCTTGTCACATGAAGTTTTACTACCCTTGTTAAGCATAGGTTATGAGGTATTACTATGATGAGGTGTTTATATAATCTTTTTTTACCAATCATGAATATATATGGAAATGGAATCTAAATTTCTACCTAATTAGTTCACTTCAAACTCTACCTCATTGTAGGCAATTCCTCCATGGTCTACATGTGTACGGTCGTGGAAATTGGAAGAACATCTCTAGGCACTTTGTTACCACCAAGACCCCTGTACAGGTTTCCAGCCATGCTCAAAAGTACTTCCTCAGGAAAGAAAATGGCACCAAGAAGCAGCGTTATAGCATCAATGACATTGGACTTTATAATTTTGAGTCCTTATCACAGACAAATGCTTCTGTCTGGAAGGGGCCCACCTTTCATGGAGGTGTCTACAACACAAATCACTATAGCTTTGGTGGACATCCTACTTCCATGAACAATGCCCAGGCTTGGGCACCATTCCTATACCACACTGTCCATGGAAGTAGCAGTAGTAGCCAAATGGCCACCTTGCCTATTGGCCAGCAAAAAGAGGAGATGGGAGCTAGTAGTTCTTTAGTGGCTCCGACCAAGGAAGCGGATGAGGGCAACTTGGACTGGACTAGTGATAAGCTGGGAGATCTTGATACTCAGTGGATGATGAAGGCAGGCATGAACTAGGTTTTATACACCATCTAGTATGCCAAGTTGCATAGTGGCCTATTAGTTCATCCTATATATGTGGGTTAAGCATCATAGTATTCTCTTATGCTAGAGTGTGAGCAACTTAGTTGTCATGAAATATTGTGTGGTACTATCAAATGTATGTGTCTTGTTTCATTGTGGCATTTTACTTAGTTTGGTGTGTCGGCTATGTTAGAATCAATATTACATTAAGCTTCTTAATTTATTCTCAGAATTATCCTATTTTATATTATTTCATTGTTTTAATGGTTGGTTGTGGGACTTATACTCTAATACATATTGATCGCTTAGACATTAGATAGATTAGAGAAGTAGAACATGGAAATTTCATAGGCATATATCTATCACTAAGGAAATGTAAGACTCCTATGTACAAACTAATCCTAAACTATGCACACATGTATGCAACTTGTTCCTCTAGAGGGTGGCATGCCGCACATTACATTGTTCTACTATTTCACTTTGGAGTATTCTATGGTTTTGGAATTTTTACATGGAATCAATTGAGATTATGACATTAAATATTCAAGTATCTAAATATTACTAGCTAATCCAAACAAGTGATAAATTCATAACAAGATGAAACATGAAGGATACAAATAAATAATCAACACCACAAAGATGTATAAATAGTATAAATGGCGAGGAGGATAACAAGACAAGGGCTAGGTTCCTATAATGACCCTTCCTCAATAACATGGTCTAGGAAGAAATATTATAGCAAGTGAAACAACAGGGGATCAATCTACCATGAATGAGGTTAGGAGACCACCAGACCCTTTTAACATGACGTGTTGCTACTATAAAGCACTAAAACACAATGACTCAAGATTAAGACAAGGAAGAGAGCCAAAACACCTTTGGCATGGTTGGTAGGTCACTTGATGTGTTAGGCGACCATTAAAAGAACCTAACAGCTTTCTCCTTTGCGCTATCATGACATATTGGAATCCAAGAACACAAATGCCAAAGATGAATAGTAAGCGAGGGAGAAGGGGGTCAAACAACCCCTCAGGTGTTCGTACGATGACCCCCTTGCTCTCCTCTATAAATACCGCTGCAAGGTGTTCAAGTAAGCCCCCAAATCAGGCAAGCACATGTTCAGGCCCTACTAAGCTTCCTCCCTCTTCATTTATCTTGGCCTTGTCATGACCTGGTCATGCATATCAGTAACCATGCACATCATCAGCATAATCTGCATTCAAATTTCATATTTTCAAAACTTGCATGACAAAACATCATTTTTTGGGTTTTGTTGTCGATGGACCCTATGTGTGGACAAGCCTCTCCTAGCGCTCCTCCATGCTGGTGTGTGAGCCTCTCCCAACGTTGTAGCATCTCCAGCTCGAGGCTACGCTAGCCCTTACAGGTGGCGGACAAGATGAGGTGGGGCAATGACGGAGAAGAAGGGAAAGGGGGACACCTGATGGAGAAAGAGGAGGGAGGGTGATGAATCTCAGCGCAGAAAAGGAGTGAGGGCATCAGATCCCACCATTAGTGAAGAGGAGGGGGCTCCACTGGTGGTGGAGGTGGAGATGCGCACCACCTTGGGGGTGGGGATGGCCACCGGTGGTGGGGATGAAGACGGGCACCATGAAGGACGAGCAGAGGAGATGGGAGAGGATGCATGGATAGATGGAAGAGGTGAGACCCACCACTGGGAGGCTAAAACGATACTCTTTCTAGGACAAGAACTCAATCCTAGAATGTCACATTTTTGGGATGGAGGGAGTATTTTTCTATGATGGTTTTTTTACTAGTAGCTAGATAAAATAATAGTATATATTCCCATTGTCCCTGAATAAATAGATTACTATTCAAGACTTTGTCTATAAATAAATCAATCTCTATGATGTTAAATGGTCCACTAGCTCATTTATTTTTCTCGAAGTCTCCTCGCATTTACTACAATATGCTTTTCTTCCAATCTAGTGTTGAGTTTCTGCATTTGAATGTGTGTAGTAAATGCTATAATTAGTGTGATATTGGAACAATCACCGATCAGTGTGCAACTACTCTAGTTAATTAAGGGTAGTATGATTTTTTCATTGTCACACTAATCTATAATAAACTTGCTAGAAATCTATTTATTCAGGGTCAGAGGGACTATTTTAGATCACATATTTTGATAAGCTATATCTACGTAGTCAGAAGATAAAATCATAGTTTCTTAGTTAGGAAAAATTTATTTGTTTGTTTACTTTTTTCTATGTATATGCTTAGGTGAAATCTAAAGTTTCTAAACAAGAGACATGCTCAAAATTAAGTTCCAATTCCAAAGTAAATTTAGAATCATTAAACTCATTTTGACTAATTTTTACTTTATTTTTGAATTTAAACTTAAATTTTTAGCATGTGCTTTATTAACAAACTTTTGATTTCACTTAAGCATATATACAGAAATAAATACATGACAAAATACTACTTTTAAATCATAAATTTAGATGTTTTATATTTTTAGAGATTATTTTAGGGCTAAACAACTTACTCAAAAACTCAAATATAGAAATACACAAGAAATTTTAATTGAAAACAACTTGCAAATACCCCCTCAGACCCAAAATAATATTATTCTTAATTCTTGAGAAGTAAAATATTTTTAACTTTGATCAAATATATATAAAATATTAAAATTTATGGTGCATCTATTTTTTGTTCCATTTCCTATTTTTTGATAGTTGCATCAAAAATAATTCATAACTTTTTCTCATAAAATCGGATGGAGACGAACTTTATCTTAAAATTGTAGCTATCAACGTAATTTACAACTTTGTGGCTGAGAAGGTTTTGGTTTAAAACTATTTAGAGTCCCAAAATATTATTTTAATTTACCGATTTTGAAATTTAAAATTTGAAACAATCTCGGATGTTAGACATGGTCTGTACCAAAGTTCTAGTATCAATATAGTCTACAACTTTGTCCTTGAAAAGTTGTTCAGAGTTCCAAATATGTGTTGTAAGAACTTATAATTTCAAATTCAAAATTTAGAATTGTCAAACTATCTATGATGCTCATATGGTTAATATCGAAGTTGTAGAGGCCAACCAAATTTATGAGTTTGTTGTTGATAAGTTTTTTATATGAAGTTAGTTAGATTGTCAAATATTCGTTTTACATTCACATATTTTGATATTTAAATTTTTGAATTTTTCAAACAATATTGGACGGAGACACATCCTTGATTGAAGATGTACTATTTGAGTAGATTTAAAACTATAATCAAAACTTTTTCATTTAAGTTCATTTAGTAGCTAAAATATTCAATACAAGATTATAAAATGTTTATATTTAATGATAGCAACCTATATATAATCATAAATGAGTGTGTAGTACAATGGAGGTGTTGTGTAAGTTGAAGGTTGAGGATTAACATCTATTCTCATTTTTGGAGTTTTTTTAAGTTTGTTGTAAACGACATGGTGGACCAAGAAATGCGTAGCGTGATGGGCCCAGCAAGGGAGGCCTACAATTACACGAGGCACTAGTTTAGACCATTTTTTCTAATTTTTTGAAGTTGCATAAAAATAATTCATAAATTTTCTATATGAAGTTGGATGAAGACGAACTTTATATTAAAATTGTAGCTATCCACGTAATTTATGACTATTTAGTTGAAAAGATTTTGATTAAAATTATAGCTATCCACGCAATCTATGACTATTTAGTTGAAAAGATTTTGATTTGAAACCATTTAGTGTCCCAAAATATTGTTTTAAGTTCACATATTTCAAAATTTTAAGTTTTCAAGCAACCTTGAATGTTCATGGGGTTCATACCAAATTTAGGGGCCGACCTAATCTATTATTCTATTGTTGATAAGTTTTTATTTGAAGTTGCTTGGAGTCTCGAATATTTATTTAAATCCATATATTTTGAGATTCAAGTTTTTTATATTTCTAAACAATCTCAGATCGAGACACATTCTATACCAAAGTTGTACTGCTGATTTAAAACTTTTATAGCTGAAACATTTTTTATTTGAGTTCACTTAGTAGTCAAAATATACAATATAATATTGAAAAATACTCATGCAAAAAGATAGCATGATATATATACTCAAAAGTGAGTGTGTATTGTAGTGGTTGTGAGACATTTTGTGAGCTAAGCGTTGCGATTTAAGTTTTGAGAGAAATTTAATTGTTTTTTGCTTTTTGAGTTTTCTAGAAAACGTTATTAAGAAAGACAGACATTTTAACAATTGTGTCTTTCTAAATGGTTTAATGACGAAGAGGTGTTCGTTATAGTTCGAAAATACAGCGTCACATGAGAGATTGGCTTAGTGTCGATGTCGTGTTTGTTACGGTTTGAAAACAAAGCGTCATAGATGAGTAATGCGAGTGGCGTTGTGATCTATGACGATATCTAAGGATGAAAATAGTACGAAAATATCCTGTACCGAACCGCATCGTTTTCTATATTTGATCCGATTGAATTCGTATTTTCAAACAAATTCGAATTCGATTCAAAATTCAAAACACCAAATTCAAAATCAGAACAAAAACAGTTTAGACATTTTTCGACCGATTTCTACTTTTCTAATTTTAATTCAGAACATCCCAAATTTGAAATTCGGTTTAAACCGAATTTGGCCCAAATAGGAACCCAATCTTAGGCATAGGCCAGCCCAATTAAAGCAGACGACACAAGGCGCGCTACGGAGTGGGCTGTGGCTTTGAGCATGTCCTGCCCCCTGGATGTTCTTATATACACCAGCGGCTCTCTCAATCTTATTTGTGTAAGCAAGGTGGGCCAAATTTAGAAGGGCACCAACGGCTGGCACTTGCAGCTTGCATGGAGCGTGGGAGTTGGCTGCTGCTGCCTGCCAGCCAGCCTGCCATGCTGATCAGCCATCGGGCCAAGTGGGCTCTTTGGCCAAGCGTAGGGAGAGGAGGGAGGAGAAATTAGGTATTATTGTGACAACTTTTGTAATTCCTAGAAAATCTAGGAAGGGGTTACATAATGTTTTTGGAAAAAGATTTTCCAAATAGTTTTGCAGAAAATAAGTTCACCAAGTTTTAATTTGTTGTAAAATTTTAAAAAAAATTAAACTTTTAGGGAATTTTAGCACGAGGAAAAACTTAAGTCCTATGGGTCGGTATTCCGCATTGATTTTTCGTATACTGACCGTGTTCGACATCACTCCGCTCGGTTTGGTTCGTTTTCGAAATTCTCGATATTCCGTAAGTTCGTGTTCGTTTTCATGTCCGGCTTTACCGCTTTTTGTGCGAATATATGAGGATAAAGATTGTTTTTTAATATTTAAGATACTAAGTTACCAAGGTTAACTCTAATTCTTGCTCTTTTGTGTCAACTATATTATGAGCACTTATAGCCTTTGATAGAAAGACCACTAGTGGTTTGCGACTGATCAACAAAGATTCATCTATGACGCAATCAAAAACCTTTGTTACCAAATTATTTAGTGAAATCTATCCTGCATGCATACATAAGTCATGAAGGTCTGAAGAAAACATGTAATTCATATCTTCTCAGATCATTTGAAAACAACTTCTCAAGAAAATAGGGAAGACCAAACCAACCACACACTAACCTAGTTGTATACTCCCCATTAACAAAATTACTTACACTGACATTCATTTGGTACATCTATACCAAATAAAACTATTATGTACCATATCACGAGAAAAGATATGCATATATTACAAGATTGGAAATGTCCATGATCATTTATGTTGAAGTAGCTCATCAAGATATCTGAATAGATAAATATGTATCACACTGTGAGATGGAGCATTGCAATTCATTAGACTTCTTCATTGACGATGTAGTCAACTAATAGTAGCTAAACTAGATGCTGGCATCATTCTATCCTGTGTGCCTAGGAATGGCTTTAGTGGCGGCATGGGCATGCATGACCACACATGTCACCCCGTCAATGGCAACATACTTGGTCGCACATGGGTCTACCTTGGAACCTCACCTCTACAACCAAACTAGACTGCACTAGTGTTTCTCTACCTTTTCTACTCTCAAGTTTGTGCTCTGCATAGGAAAACTATTGGCGTTGGCAAATTGACGATGTGTACATGGAGCTTATAGCAAACTTCTAGCACTAACTATTAATGCACTTAAGAAAAAGAGTCGCACAAGTAGAGATATACTATATATAGGGTGTATAATATTCTTTGACTTTGTTATCAAAATCTCAAATTTGCCTTCATGTCAAAGTCAATTGTCCAATTAATCAAAATTAGGACAAAAAGATTCACATGAGGCCTATAAATACTAGCCTTGGTGTTTGCCAATCTCCACAACCCACCAACCCTCGTTCTTAGCTCAAACTACCAATTGTAGCATAGTACTCAACCACATGAATCTCAAGTTCAAGGGACAGTGGAGTGCCTCTGAGATCAAGATTGTGAAATCCCTCATTGCAAGGGACAACGCCAACAACAATGGTACTAGTGATATGAACAAGAAGCACAATCAAATTGTGGATGAGCTCCAGGCAATGTTCCCTAGCAAGGAGAAGCATCAGGTAACCAACTTGTACGTTGATGTCATGGTGGAGATGATGCAAACATTACAGATCGGCAACTAGCATGTGGAAGCAAGTAGCAACCTCATGAATCAACCCTTTGGGGTGTTTGTGGGGGATCCATCAATGGGCAACATGAAAGCATTTGATGGTTATCAAAAAGTGGAGATGTTCGGCACAAGGAATGTGAAGGAGACTCCACAGAGGAAGCCCACTCCTCGGAAGGAGATCCAACACACTGGGAGGTTTTGGACCACAGACGAGCATAGGTTAGTTATTTGCTAGATCCTTAAAGCATCTCATACAAATTTTTAATGCTTGTCACATGAAGTTTTAATACCCTTATTAAGAATAGGTTATGAGGTATTACTATGATGAGGTGTTTATATAATATTTTTTTTACCAATCATGGATATATATATGGAAATGGAATCTAAATTTCTGCCTAATTAGTTCACTTCAAACTCTACCTCATTGTAGGCAATTCCTCCGTGGTCTACATGTGTACGGTCGTGGAAATTGGAACAACATCTCTAGGCACTTTGTTACCACCAAGTCCCCTGTGCTAGTTTCTAGCCATGCTCAAAAGTACTTCCTCAGGAAAGAAAATGGCACCAAGAAGCAGCGTTATAGCATCAATGACATTGAACTTTATGATTTTGAGCCCTTGTCGCAGACAAATGCTTCTATCTAGAAGGGGCCCACCTTTGGTGGAGGTGTCTACAACACAAATCACTATAGCTTTAGTGAACATCCTACTTCCATGAATAATGCCTAGGCTTGGTCACCATTCCTATACCACACTAGCCATGGAAGTAGCAGCAGTAGCTAGATGGCCACCTTGGCTATTGGCTAGCAACAAGAGCAGATGGGACCTAGTAGTTCTTTATGGCTCCGACCATGGAGGTGGATGGGGGCCACTTGGACTGGACTAGTGATAAGCTGGGAGATCTTCTTGATACTCAGTGGATGATGTAGGCGGACATGAACTAGGTTTTATACACCATCTAGTATGGCAAGTTGCATGGTGGCCTATTAGTTCATCCTATATATGTGGGTTTGGCATCATAGTATTCTCTTATGCTAGAGTGTGAGCAACTTAGTTGTCATGAAATATTGTGTGGTACCTTAAAATTAATGTATGTGTCTTATTTCATTGTGGCATTTTATTTAGTTTGGTGTATTAGCTATGTCAGAATCAATATTACATTGAGCTTATTTATTTATTCTCAGAATTATCCTATTTTATATTATTTGATTGTTTTAATGGTTGGTTGTGGGACTTATACTCTAATACATATTGATCGCTTAGACATTAGACAGATTAGAGAAGTAGAACATGGAAATTTCATAGGCATATATCTAAGACTAAGGAAATGTAAGACTCCCATGTACAAACTGATCTTAAACTATGCACACATGTATGCAACTTGTTCCTCTAGAGAGGGTGGCATGCCACACATTACATTGTTGTACTATTTCACTTTGGAGTATTCTATGCTTTTGGAATTTTTACATGGAATCAATTGAGATTATGACATTAAATTTTCAAGTATCTAAATATTACTAGCTAATCCAAGCAAGGGATAAATTCAAAACAAGATGAAACATGAAGGATACAAATAAATAATCAACACCACAAAGATATATTAATAGTATAAATGGCGAGGATTACAACAAGACAAGGGCTAGGTTCCTATAATGACCTTTCTTCAATAACATGGTCAAGGAAGAAATATTATAGCAAGTGAAATAGTAGAGGATCAATCTACCATGAATGTGGTTAGGAGACCACCTGACCCTTTTAACATGATGCGTTGGTACTATGTAGAACTAAAAACACAATGATTCAAGATTGAGACAAAGGAAGAGGGCCAAAACACCTTTGGCATAGTTGGTAGACCACTTGATGTGTTAGGCGACCATTGAAAGAACCTATTCGCTTGCTCCTTTGCTCTATCATGACATGTTGGAATCCAAGATCATAAATGCCAAAGATGTAAGAGAGGGAGAAGGGGGTCAAACCACCCCTCAGGTGTCCATACGATGACTCCCCTTGCTCTCCTCTATAAGTACCACTACAATGTGCTCAAGTAAACTCCCAAATTAGGCAAGCACATTGTAGCACCTGATTCTAAAAACAAAACCAGATACACACCATATGTGAGTCCAGGAAGTCAAATCTCACATATAGCTACAAATAAGCGTAATATCAATAGACAATGCTCAATATATAACGTACTTAGTACAAAGAATATAACCTAAGATAGCAAACAGTGGAAAGACAACTCTGATCTTTGGGTGAAGATTCCAATTCCACGGGGACAACTGACTAGTTGATCACAAGCCTAATTCCTCCAAACTCTAGTAATCTGGTACCTATCCAGGATTTTTCCAAAGATTTAAAAAGTAAAGCAAGCGTAAGTACATGTCGTACTCAACAAATATAACATGGGGCTCATGAGGCTCAAAAGGCTAACGCTGGTTTAACTGCAATTAGCTTTTAATGAGTCATCTTTTAGCAATTGGGTGACAACAAGTTTATTCACACGCCCACATAAACACATGATTAGGTAAACATAAATAATGAATAGCATAAACAGTAACCATTAGTGAGCATCTTTATCATCAGTATCATCAGTGTTCATCATCTATTCCGTAAGGGTCTAAGGCCGCTCATGACCATGAGCACGGCTAATATACCAGTTTTACACTCTGCAGAGGTTGTACACTTTCACTATGAGTCGTGATTTACCCTTTCGCCCGAGGCGACCAACCTCTTGACCCACTACCAAGGAAGGTCAGCAGGGTTCACTATGAAGCCTTTCAAAGGTTCATCTAACAAGTTAGGGCTATTAGATTCACTCGGCAAATAGATGAAGAGCCCCCCTTCCCGATGGCACAATGACACGCAGCCTATACATAAGGGGACAGAGGCCGCACTATACCCGATTTGACAAGCCATTCTTACGCCATAAAGGTAACCTCTAACAAGCTAGAAAAGGTCCTCATACTGAGCTAAAGCCAGAGCCATATAGCCCTCACAGCTATACTGTAAGTCCCGGATGTTTGCTTATAGATAAGTCCTTAGGGAGATGAATCTAGAGCACCATAAAAATAGTCCAATGCTCTAGCCCCCTTATTCCATGTTGCTAAAAACATCTTTTAATGTTTATTACATATAACATTAGTCAAGTTACAAGATCATGGTTGTAGTTGAGCACTAGCATCATACTACCCAATGCAATACCCCATAGGTATCAAGGCATAAGGTACAAAGTACTAGGAAATCCTTAGTGGTAATCAAGGTAAACACATGCAGCATGAATTAAATGATTAAAGGTGTATAGGACAACTAGGAAGATCCCATGCTATACTTGCCTTAAACTCCGATCCTTCTTCTTGAATTGTAACCTCCAAAGGACCTCTTCTAGATCACCAACTTCTTTTATATGACCAACGCAAAGCTCACCAACTGGACATGATCATAAAGCACCACACAAGCATCCATGCAATCATACACGAAGCAAACAATAGATCTAAATTAGAATAGTACACCAAACATAAAATTAATATGAAAAGTTTGTAAAACAAATCTATGTCTCGCTACGAACACACAGATGCAAAAAGCACTTTAATCGGAGCTATAACGAAAAAGTTATGATTTAAACAAGATTTCCTTTAAAATAATAGATTAAATCTAACCTCAAATTTCAAAAGTTGAAATTATATTTAACAGTAAGATAAACATGTAGATTACGCAATTATGAATCTAACGCAACTTGAATGGATCAAATCGGAGTCAAAACAGAGAAATTATGGCCTAAAGAAAACTAGTGGCAAAATTGTAAATAGATTAAAACGTATTTTGAATCTACTAGAAAGAAACTACGGTTTTAGAATAGGAAAACATATTCTGGAAGTGCGCCATGGACTTCGGGTTAGATTATTCAAAAGTCGAGGGTCGCTTTAGCAAAAGTACAGGGACGGCGGGTTCTAATCTACAAAAATATGAGGGCTCTTTTGAAAAACTGTCGGCCGAAGGGGTACGGTCAAATTTGATCCGTTGATTGCGGATCCGACGGATGGAATCAGTGGGAGGGATGAAGTCACTAAAGCACAGGGAGATGATGGCGGCACCATGGCTGAAGAGCAGAGAACCTCACCAGCATTTTTGGAGAAGGGCCTACGGGCCATGGTAGAGCAAACTGAGAGCACAGGGATGGAGAGCTAGGCACGATGAACTCACCGCGAACAAAATCGAAGGCAGGTGACTCGACGAGGCAACGGCAATGGTGGCGGTAGGGTTTGGCTTGGCGGTGGCGCTGCGAGCTTGAGGCAGCGGCTGCGCTAGGGTTATGTGAGGGGGCGACGGGTGCTCAGGATGGAAGCGGCACGTGTGAGCTTGATATTTATGGGGACAGGGAGCTTGGTGTGCACGGCAAGTCATGGAGGCATGGCGGCGTGGGGTTCTCGGTGACGGTGGAGCAGACTTTGGGTCGACGATGACTCAGGGAGGAAGAGGACTCCGGCTGACGCGTGGGCTCGGTTTGGTAGAGAGAGAGGAGAGGGGAACGCGCGTGCGGATTGGGCCGGCACGTGGGGAGACACGGTGCAGGGCAGTTGGGCCGGCGTGTGAAGAAAAGGGAGATGGGCTTTGTGGCTCGGCCAGCAGGCCAAAAAACAATGGAGAGGGAGGGAGAGTGAGAGTTTCCTTTTCTCTTTTTTTTCAAAACTATTTTCAAATCCATTTTCAAACTTGGTTTGAAATAATTTGAACTTTGGTCAAATCCACACAGTACAATAAAACATATGTGCCAACATGAATGCACAAAAATGTTGCTAAGCCTTATGATAAATTTTAATTTAATGAAAAATATTATTGTTCCTATTATTTTATGAACACAAAATACTTATTACACTTTATGTCTTGTGAGATGTGCATTAAGTAATTAGGAGTTGGTCAAATACCGTTGCTGCATGATTACCTTGATATACAGGTATCCTTAGTTATACCCTACTAGTATGGATAAGTTGATACCTCTTATGCTTAGAAGGCTTAGATGTCGGTAAAAGTCGAATGATGGTTTCATCGTTCGTGAGAAATAGGTTTTACCTTGATCCTCTCAGCTCTGCTGATGGCTCATGAGATTACATAGAAAATGTTAAATATCTAAATTGAGACAGGGGCGGGACATGGTTATGTCTCCGTATGGGATATTGGTAATGTCCTGGTACAGAATATGAGATATGTCTCTGGTGGGTAGGCCAATGGGGAGAGCCAGTTGTGCATCGTCCCACCTGTGTCGATTGAGGACCATACCATTGTAGGCCACTGTGTGGTCAAGACTTTACAGTACTGGCTACATACTCCGGTAAGCTGATACCTCGGCTATTCCCTTATGTGAAAAGACAACTGCGCACTAGGAGTGGGATATGGTGAGAGTGGCATGTACATATCCTATGAATCCACCAGGAGTGGCGCAGGGAGGTGGAGTACTGTGCCCTCGGGTAGCGCAGACCGGTTCATATTTTGGAGGATCCGGGTGAAGGTTGATATATGTAGGTCTCGGACCTGCATATGTCGTGTGGTAAGAAAACCCCAGCTGGGCCAAACTAATTCGAATCGTCGTTGCTTCTTGGAGATGAAGACTCAATCCTCTGACCTGCATCATAGTTAATCAATAAAACATG